TGAGAGCACACGAGAATGACGATGGTGGCAGAGATTAATGGTGCTGATTCCGAGTGTTTCAGGGACAAAACCAACGTGCAGCTCTCTGGGAGCAGTCACTCCTTGGAGCAGACGGGAGGTCAGGTGGTTTGACTCGCCTGCTGGTCCACCGGCATCTCCCAAGGAGCACAGATTCCGCCTCCACCAGCGCAAAGGGGTGTCAACACAGGGGCGCAGGCAGCAGGGGCCGCGGGAGGGGCTCCTCTCAGGAACACACCTGGCTGTGGCTTTCTCGAACCCCATGTGCCACTCTGGTCCCACCAACTTTCCCACATACCATACTCACTGTGTGCACACAGCTCGGAACACAGAGGATGGTAACCGGAGTCCACCCCACAGCACTGGGTAGAACGGCCTGCAGATCGACTGACACGAGATGACACCCAGGAAAAGCCCGGGGTCACCAGGAGTCAGCACCAACTTGGCGGCAAAGCATCTGGGTTTGGGTGTGGACTCCAACCTCCTCGAGGGCAGGGCAAAGGCTGGCTGGTCAGGGACCTACACAGACTGTGAAGTCCTTAGAAGACATGGCATATGACTTGCTGAGAGGGCAGCAAATGCCATGTGTCCCACACACAGCAGGCCTAGTGAACCTACAAAGAGCAAATGCACTCCCACCGACAGCCCCTCAGGACACTCACTCTCCTGTCCTGCAGACTTCAGGCACAGCTCCATGGGACGTCCCAGTCACCTAGTCTAATACTGTCCTCAGAGCTTCTGTTCTGCCTCCCCGTTGTCGAGTGCCTAGGGGGTCTAAAAAGCTTGCAGGCAGCCATCCAAGGTACAACATTAGGTCCCCATGCTCTTGGGTAAGAGCAGAAGGAGGAGTCAGAAAACCAAGGAGGTAATGGAATGCATGTTCAACACCCTTATGAACAACTGCCTCCTTTGCCATGCAACCAGAACTGAATGGTGCCTGGTCACCATTACAGAAGTTTTCGGTCAAAGGTTCTATAGAAGAATCTTGATCGAAAGGGGGAAAATGTAGAACAGAACATCAAATTCTCATGGAATCTAGACTTTCTGGAGCCAGAGGCTGGATGAACCCCCAAAACTGTTGCCCTGAGATCATCTTTAAACCTCAAATGAAAGTATCCCCTTAAGTCATCACACAACAGTTGAGCTTTATTAGAAAAGACTATCAGCCTTGACCACTGGGCTCTTGTAGAGAACGATGTACATGGTATCAAAAGGAAACAGCAACTCAAGAGGTTCGATGAGACACTTAGGGGACAGTGAGTTTATCTAACAGAGGTGGAATGATCTGGAAAGGACAGCAAGAATGGCTGCATAACATGAAGGTCCATGTCACTGAACTGCAGGGAGAAACTATTCAATTGGTTTATGTTTTGCTACATGTATATTCATCAAAAAATAAACAATGATAGCAATGGATTGTGACCTACTGAACTACAAAAAAAAAAAACAAAAAAAAAAAAACCACAAGTCCCCAAAAAAACCAAACTCACTGCCATTGAGTCGGATCTGACTACAGCGGGTTTCCAAGGCAGTATCACTACAGAAGTAGACTGCCCAACCTTCCTTCCAAGGAGTGGCTGGTGGGTTTGAACCGCCAGCCTTCTGGTTAGCAGTCAGATGCCTCAAAGCTCCCAATCAGTAGCAATAAATAAATGAATATATAAGGGAGAAGGAAAGGCCCATGTTTACAGAAGAATGCCAATGGTTAAAAACAGAACCAAGATGGGGTGGGAGGAAGATCAGCAAAGGCTGATGAAGAACAAGCCTTTACACAGCCTCAAAGGTTCTTCTGAAATACTATTTTAAATTTAAAGACAAAACAAGACCCCCTGACATCAAGCTGATTCTCCCTCGTGACAACCCTGTGACCCAGCTGAAGCACTCCCTCCACAGGGTACCGTTGACTGTAATCTTCATGGAAGCAGGCTGCCAGGACTTGGCTCTACTGCACTGCTGGGTGGGTGGAACCCCCAACTCTCAGGTTAGCCGTCACGTACAGACGGTTTGTGCTACCTTCCTTTTGCATTATAAGGGGAGGTACAGTCTCTCTACAGAGCAGGGAACTGGCAGACCTTCCCTAAGTGATCTGAGGCCACCACCATAGGATAAACCAGCACCGTGGCCCCTGGCCTAAGCCCCTGGGAAGGACCCTGCATCCCTCAGCAGTGTCCCTGTCAACAACACACCCCCTGGTCCTCAACACCAGGGGGCACAGATGGACACTTAGGATGTTTCCATCTCTTTGCTATAGTGAACAGTGGAGCAATGAACATGGGTGTGCACATGTCTGTTACACATGTTCTACCTGCCTGTTCCTCCACTGACGGGCACTTAGCTGTTTCCATCTCCTAGCTACAGTGAGCAGTGCTACAGTGAACACGGGCATGAGTATGTCTATTTGTGTCTCTTCTATTAGATCCTTCTAGTACATACCTAGGAGCGGAATTGCTGGGTCATAAGACAATTGTGTTTTTAATTTTTTGAAGAATCACCATATTATCTTCCATTTCACATTCCCACCAGCGGTGGATAAGGTTCCAGTCTCCTCGTGGCCTCCTCTATCAGTGCCAAGCTGGCAGACATGCTGCATGCTAGCAGACTGAGGCACTAGCTCATTGTAATTTTGATTTGCATTCTCCTAATGGCTGAAGAGAGACTGGACTATCTGCTTCTGTAAGGATTTACCACCCTGGAAACGCAAAGGGGTCGCTACGAGTCAGAATCAACTCAATGGCAGGGAGTTTAATTTTGGGTTTAATGGCTGATGAGGAGCCACAGTTAAGCACTTAGCTGCTAACAAAAAGGTCATGGGTTTGAACCCATCATCCACTCTGCAGGAGAAAGACATGGCAGTCCACTCACATGCAGACTACAGCCTTGGAGACCCTGTGAGGCAGTTCCACTCTGTCCTCTGGGACGCTGTGGGTCCGACTCGATTCCACAGCAGTGGGAGTGGCTGATGACAGTGAACATCTTTTCACCTGTCTGTTGGCTGCTTAAATGCCCTGTTGGTGACACATCTGCTCATGCCCTTGGCCCATTTTGTAAGTGGATTACTCTTCTGCCTGCTGTTAAATCAGGAGAGTCAGCAAGGACTCCCTCAGTCCACAGCCCTCTGAGCACCTGCTCTGTGTCGGCCTGGCTGCTGCCTTACTGGACACCCCAGAATGCAATCTGTTGTTAGCTACTGCTGCGTCAATTCCAGCTCATAGCGCACCACGGGACAAAACGCTGCTCAGTCCTCCACCGTCCCCGTGACTGTTGCGGGTTGGACCACTGGAACCACGGGGTCTCGATGGCTGTTTTTCAGCAAATGGCCAGGCCATTCTTCGCAGCCCGTCTTCGTCTGGACACTCCACTGAGACATGCTCAGCATCATGGCCACACGCAGCCTCCACGGACAGACGGGGGGTGGCTGCACAAGGGATGCCCTGGCTGGGAATCGAACCCAGGTCTCCCATGTGGAAGGCAAGGGTTCTACCACTGAACCACTGGTGCTGTCCCCTGTAAAGGGCTCACGTTTCCCTCTTTACCTCAAAGGAAATGCAGTCTGAAACCAACACTTGAAGACTCTGGGAGGAAAGCGCCACGAGCCACAGCCCGAGTCCACGCTCACTCTACTCATCTGTAACCAGTGCCGCACCTGCCTCCCAAAGGAGCCTGCGGCCACGTCACAGACCATCCGAACCGCCGGACTGGTACAGAGGCATGAAGTGGAGGAAAGTGAAGGGGCCCGTCGTCCGTGGCATAGAGCTAACGAAGACACTCAGGAAGCAGGCACTCGGCACGAGCCGCAGCCACAGCCCTGACGGCACCGCCTTTCAAAGCAGAAGAGGCTCTGATACAGACAGCTGATGGCCTGTGAGGCCACATGGCACGGCCCAGTGCGCCTGGGTCCCCACGTGCCACTCGGTGCAGGTCCAGTCACCCGCAGGCTACAGTCGAGGATGGCAGGTAGGAGGCAAAGGTGGGCCCTCCAGCACACCACAACACGCAGCTATCAATGCTGTCTGGAGGTGGGAGGCCGCCTCAGAGGGAATGGCCCAATCATGAGCACACAGCTGGAACTGGCTGCAAGGACTGTACAACCCCAGAGCGTGCTCATACCCCTACACTGCCCCAGCACCTCACTGTCAGCACAATTCCCAAATTTGCCAAAGCCCAGTGGCTCTGAAAACCTTTCTCTCAGGACCTCCGAGATTCCAGCTGCGTAGTTCTGGCCTCTCGGGCCCCTCAAGATTCCGGCTCTGTAATTTTGGGCTGGGTCCCATGACCCACGTCTAACAGGCAGGACTATAAGCCCTGGACGGAGGCAGGGACTCCGCAGCAGCACAGATCTGAGCACTGTCCGCTTAGGGCCGCAGCCCTGGCCAGGCCTCAGACAAACATATCTTCCCAAGCCCTTAGGCTCCTCCCCCAGGGCCACAGCCCAGGATCAAGCTCCAAATGATGTCCCTGCCCCCAAAACCACATCCTGCCACAGGCACTTCCCTCAGGACAGAGATGATGCCTGTTAAACAGTGAGACACGGAGCAGGCCAGTGCCCATCAGTGAGGGCCTGCTGCTATGCATGGTGAGAGGCCAGCCAAGTCCCTCGTGAACACAGTCCCACCACCCAGCAGGGACCAGCACCCAGGGGAGGCAGCTGTGGACAGGTCGCCAGCCTGAGAGACAGGAGTCACCCACAGTCTAGGCCTACACGTAGCACTGCAGGGTCCTGGGCACTCAAAAGTGCCCCCACCTTAACTGAACAACACAAAGCCTGGCCCATGATGGGCTGGGAGGAGGGGTCAGTGGCCGTAAGTCTTTGCAGGGAGGGACCGGAAAGAGGGAACAGCAGGGCCACATGAATAAGACAGAGCCTGGCCATCAAGGCAGGAACACACAATGTACTCTGGACGAGACAGGTGTCCTTCGCAGGACCGTGTACCTGGCCTGACCTCCTGCACCCCTGGCTCCTGTACACAGACAGAGGGCATTACCTGGCCAAGAAGTGGCTGAGTGGCCCCAGAAGTCCCGACCTGCTGCCCTCTTCTGGCCTCTCTGCGCTGTCCCGCTGGCCAGGGCCACCAGACAGGGAGCTCAGGGTGACGTCGGTGAACGGTGGGCCGTCGTCATTCTCCAGGGCCACAATGGCACTGGAGCTGCTGGTGACGAGGTCTAGGAGGTCTTCGCTGCTGATGGACAGTGTGGCAGAGAGCTCTGTGCCAAGACTGGACACGCTGCAGATGGAGGCACCGTCGTGGCGGCTCAGGGCCCTGGCGCTGGGGCTGCACAGCCGCACAGCATCGTAGCTGGTCCTGGGGAAGGTGGAGGACTTGCGGACGCCCTGATCCCTCTCGGCGCCGGTGGCGGCCGGCAGCCCACAGGACGGCAGGGGGCAGGCACTCCGGGAAGCCCTCTCAGGGACAGCCTCTGGCTCAGATGGCTTCCTCCTTGCATGGGTCCCGCTGCAGGGCACGGGCTCTGGGTTGCCGATCTCAAGGGTCGGAATGCCTGAGTCCACTGACTCCAGGCTGCACCTGTCGGCAGCGGCACCCGGCAATGGCACAGGTCCATGTTCAGACAGCGGGAGGGGTCTGGGGGCCTTGAGGGTCAAGCTCGGGGGGCTCTGAAGGTGGTTTCCTGGCCGACCATCCAGAACACCCATCAAGGCTACACCATTGGCAGAGGTGGAAAGGTTGCCATCGGTCATCTTGGTCCAAGAAGAAACTAGGAAAATACCAACAGGGAAATGAAGTCAGTGCATAAGAAACTCAAGTGTCCAGTCAGCTAACACACGGGGACCCAATCAGAGAAGCATGTGAGGGTGAACTTCCTGGGTCAGCTTGGCAAGGCTGTGATTCCCAGTGTTTGGCCAAATACTAGTCTAGCTGCTCTTCCACAATGTCATGGGATAAAGGTGACCTCCCAGAATGCAATGTGACCTGATCACCTCCAAGAATGCAATGCAATCAGCTCCCACAATTTAATGCGACATAATCACCTCCCATGATGCAACGTGATGTAATAATCACCTCTCACAGTGTAATGTGATGTATTCATCTGCCATACTGTAAGGAGCTCTGGTGGCATTTGGCTGCTAAAAAGGTCAGTGGTTCAAACCCACCAGCTGCTCCTTAGGAGAAAGATGAGACAATCTGCTTCTGCAAAGATCTGTTGCTATTGTTGTTGCTAGGTGCCCTCGAGTCAGCTCCAACTCACGGTGACCCTGTGTACAACAAAATGCAACACTGCCCGGTCGTGCCCCATCCTCACAATCCTTGCTATCCCTGAGCCCATCACTGCAGTCAGTGGGTCAATTGATCTTGCTGAGGGCCTTCCCTTTCTCGCTCATCCTCCACCTTACCAACATGATATCCTCTTCCAGGGAAGAGGTGAGATGAAGTCTGGCCATTCTCACTTTCAAGGAACATTCCGGCTGCACTTCTTCCAGGACAGACTTGTTTGTTTTTCTGGCAGTCCATGGTATTTTCAGTATTCTTCACCAATAGCACAATTCAAAGGCATCAGTTCTTCTTTGGTCTTCCTTATTCGCTGTCCAGCTCTCACATGCATGAGGCAACTGACCACACCATGGCTTGGGTCAGGTGCACCGTAGTCTTCAATGTGACATCTTTGTTCTTTGCTTTAAAGAGCTCTTTTGCAGCAGATCTGCCCAATGCAGTAAGTCGTCTGATTTCCTGACTGCTGCTTCCATGGGTGTTGATTGTGGATCCAAGGCAAATGAGACCCCTGACAACTTCAGTCTTTTCTCCATTTATTATTATGATGTTGCTTACCGGTCCAGTTGTGAGTGAGGATTTTCATTTTCTTTATGCAGAGGTGTAATCTATGCTGCAGACTGTAGTCTTCAATCTTTAGTAAGTGGTTCAAATCCCCTTCGTGAGCCTTCCTCCAATGATGATGCCGTGTTTTCTTCATACAGTCCAGCTTCTCTGATTATTGCTTAGCATACAGACTGAATAAATCTGGTGAAAGGATACAACCCTGATGCACACCCTTCCTTATTTTAAATCATGCAATGCCCCCTTCTTCTATTCAAATGACAACCTCTTGTTCTATGCACAAGTTCCTCATGAGCACAAGTAAGTGTTCTGGAATTCCCATTCTTCACAACCATAACTTGTTCTGATCCACACAGTCAAACGCTTTTGCATAGTCAATAAAGCACAAGTAAACATCTTTCTGGTATTCTTTGCTTTGAGTGAAAACCCATCTAACATCAGCAATGTTATCCCTCATTCCACACCCTCTTCTGACTCCTGCTTGCATTTCTGGAAGTTCTCTGTCAATATACTGCTTTAATTGTTTTTAATTATTTTCAACAAGATTTTACTTGCATGTGAAATTAATGATATTGCTTGATAATTTCCACATTCTGTGAGATCACCTTTCTTTGGAATGGGCACAAATATGAATCTCTTCCAGTCAGTTGGCCACGTAGCTGCCTTCCAAATCTCTTGGCATAAACAAGTGAGTGCCCCCAGTGCAACATCTGTTTGTTGAAACATATCAATGGGTATTCCGTCAATTACTGGAGCCTTGTTTTTCACCAATTCCTTCAGTGCAGCTTCTTTCAGTACCATTGGTTCTTGATTATATGCCACCTCCTGAAATAGATGAACATTAACAAATTCTTTTTGGTGCAGTGATTGTGTGTTCCTTCCATCTTCTTTTGATGCTTCCTGCATCATTCAATATTTTTTCCATGGAATCCTTCAATACTGCAACTCAAGGCTTGAATTTTTTCTTCAGTTCTTTCAGCCTGAGAAATGCCAAGAATGTTCTTCCCTTTTGGCTTTCTAACTCCATTTCTAACATTTCTTTATGATAATTGACTTTGTCTTCTCAAGCTGCTCTTTGAAATCTTCTGTTCAACTCTTTTGTCATTTGCTCTTGAAAGGAGAGTAGCTAAGTAAAGAGTCTCTTCTGACATCCATTTTGGTCTTTTCTTCCTTTCTCGTCTTTTTAATGACCTTTTGCTTTCTTCACGTATGATGTTCTTGATTTCATGCTACAACTTGTCTGGTCTTCAGTCTTCAAATCTATTCTTCAGATGGTCTCTAAATTCAGGTAGGATGTAATCAAGGTCATATTTTGGCTCTCATGGACTTGTTTCAATTTTCTTCACCTTCAACTTGAACTTGCATAAAAGCAGTTGATGGTCTGTTCCACAGTCGGCTCTTGACATTGTTTTGGCTGAAGATATTGAGCTTCTCCATCATCTCTTCCCACAGATGTAGTCAATCTGATCCCTGTGTACTCCATCTGCTGAGGTCCACATGTACCACTGTTCATGTTGTTGAAAAAACATATTTTATAGTGAGTAAGTCATTGGTCTTGAAAAATTCTAAAACTATAAAAATTTACAGCCTTGGAAACCCAATGGCAGTGGGTTTTTTTTTTTTTTTTTGTAGTAATGTAATGTAAAGACTTTCCTCAGTGGAATGGAGTGGAATGACCTTCCAGAACACAAGCTAACAGCATATAATCCATCAGCTGAAAAAGACAGTTTTTTGGGGGTGTCCTGCCTCCCGACTGTGACTAGGTATCTGGGCAGAACGTGCTCTCTCTTCACCCTGCATTCTGGTCATCACCTGACCTGCGGACTGTGGGACTTACCAGCCCCTCACAGTTCTAAGAGCCTGCAGGCGCCTCCAGCCTGTGACCTGAGTGACAAGACTTCGGACTCGCCAGCCTCCACAACTGTGTGGGCCGGTCCCTTGCAGCAAATGTTGTAAACACATCTCACTGGCTCTGGCTCTTAGAGAACCCCACAACAGAGCGACCATTGGAAAAAGTCCTTCAAGCCCAATTTTTGATCCAGGACCAGAAGCTAGACTTTTGACATACACCAAGATATAAGACAACAGGAAGGTGACCTGAACAAGGGGCACATCTAGGGTGAAAGGTGCCATCAGCCCTGCAGTCCCACCTCTGGTGCTCAGGACCCCAGGGTCACGAGTGCTGTGCGGGGCACAGAGAGACTGCTCTTTGATAACAAACAGGACACCTCTGTCACACATATGGGAACTGTCAAGTATGTGGAAGCCAAGGCTGTGCCTGTCCCGAGACAGCACAAAACACAAGATGCTGTCATCAACAAACACTACTAAAAACATTACATGGGCCACATGCAGTGAGACACCCACCACATCCAATAGCCAAGCCCTCACAGGTGTTTACTCAGGTGTACTCAGCCCAAGGGTGGGCACACAGAGGGCTCCGAGGCTCAGAGCGGTCAAGTAGCTGCTCTAAGGTCATAATGCTACTCAGCAGCCGAGCCAGGGTCCAGGGCCACCAAAGGGCCATGCCGGTTTAGGATGGCTTAATGTTAGGAGTCCCTGGTGGTGCAAATGGTTCACACACTCAGCTGCGCACCAGAAGGTTGGAGGTTTGCGTCTACTCAGAAGTGGCGTGGAAGAAAGGCCTGGTGGCTGACTTCACAAATAACAGCCCCTGAAAAACCTACAGGGTCAGTTCTACTCTGACATACACGGGCTTGCCCACCAGGAGCTGGAACTGACGGTCACTGGGGGCAGAGTCAGGGTTAGAGTTGGGAGGTCGGCTCAGAAGATGACCAGTGAGGCAAGAAAAAGCCCAGGACCTGCGACAGTCGGGAGCATCAAACTGACACACACATACAAAGAGATCCCACACACACCACATATGCACACACATCACACATACATACACCATACACTACAGATGCATGTATACACACCATACATATGCACACATACACCCACACCCACTCACACACACACCCCTCCACATCCCCCCCACATACACACATTCACACACATACACCCCATACACATACACACACCATAAGTACACTCACACACCACCTATACATACACTACACACACACACCCCATATACTATAGATACATATAGACATACCCACACACACACAACACACACACTCGCCATACACACACATACACCATGATACACTCACACACATACACCCCACATATACCCACACACACCATACACTACAGATGCACATACACACCATACGTCATATACTCAACACTTACACACATACACCACATACAAATACACAACACACATACACACACACCATATACACACATGTTCACACTATCCATACACATACACACCACACACACACACCATACACTACAGATACACATACATACATACACTCACATATACACCACCCATACACACACACCATACACTAGATACACACACATACACCCCACACACATACACACTCCCCACACACATATACACACCATATACTAGATACACATATACCCACACATCACACATACACAGACACCATAAACCACACACACACACCACCATACAAAAACCCAGACGTATCACCCCAACACACACACACACACACAGTACCTCATCTACAGTCCAGCCGTCACCTGGGGTGGGGGAGGAGTGGGGCCCCAGCCTGCAGGGCCCGGGAGACTGAGCCCCTGCAAAAGGTGCAACCCTTTATTCAATTCACGCGCCGTGTCCAAACCCAAGAACTGTGACGTGGAGCTCACATCCGATCACAGAGTACAGCGACGTGCACAGGAGGACACTGGGCCTGGGTGCTAACCTGGCCCCACCGCGCTGCCTCGGGGACCCACACGGGACCCGCACGCTTGCACAGCTGCCGTCAGCACCCGAAGGGCGAGAAGCCGCACATGACCCTGACCGCTGAGA